AGTTCTTGAACCCCAGCGGTAGCCAGGTCCAGGTGTACTGGGTGGTTACGCCTGTTTCTGGATTTTCCCATTGAAAAGCAAATCATTTCTGACTCTCCAAGGCCAGTCTAATGTTAAAGAAAGCATTCTTTAGGTCCAAGCAGGTGAACCAACTATCCTCTGCTGGCAATAATCCCAACAGTATGTACGGGTTGGGTACAGCTGGGCGCAAAGTCACTGTAGCCTGATTAACCAAACACAAGTCCTGCACTTGCCTACAGTCTTAGATCCCTGGTTTAGGAACAGGCAAGAGGGGGGTGTTCCATGGAGACTGGCAAGGAACTGTAATTCCATAGTCCTCTAAGTGTTTTAGGTGGACCTGAATGCCTTCTAAGGCCTCATGGGGAACTGGGTACTGCTTTTGTCTACCCGGCTGAGGCCCGGGCTTGACCTCAGTAAGCACAGGGTCCTGGTTGATTTCCAGTCCTGGTGGATTGTCCTCTGCCCAGATCTTAGGCCATCGTCTTGCTACTGCAGGTTCTATCTCCTGGCCTGGTTCAGTTAAGAAGAGCCTCCACCCTTCTTCACGAGGAAACCTGAGGGCCATTATGACTCCAGTTTTAGGCAGTGCTAGCTGTAAAATGCCACTCTCGGTAAAGATGATGGTTGCCCGTAGCTTACCGAGCAGATCCCTTCCTAGCAGGGGCAAAGGGCAATCAGGCATGTATAGGAACTGGTAAATCACCTCATGACCCCCCAGCTCACAAGTTCAAAGCAAACAGAAAGACTTTCTCTGACACCCCGGGATCTCCAACAATACCAGTTGTTTCCTTTGATAGGAGGGATATAGGGGTGGTTACCACCAAATATTCAGCACCTGTGTTGACGAGGAAGTCAGTGTCCTTGCTCCCCACTGTCATCCTGACCATGGGCTCTTTGGGGGCAATTGAGCCCAGTCCCCTTCAGTCCAGTGGCCCTTCCATTAGACTGAACAGAGCCCCTTCACTTTTATCTGAAGCCTCATGCTTAAGATCTCCCTGTTTTCCTGTCAGCTGGGGGCACTTGTCCTTCCAGTGTCCCACTTCTCTACAGTAAGCACAATGGTTACGTTGCAGGCGCAGCAACTAGACTGGGTAGGCTTCCAGGATCCCCCATTCCCTGCCCTTCTGGGGGCACTCCTCTAATAGCGGCAGCTATCAAGTCAGCGCTTTGTTGAGCTTGACGCTCGTTTTCTCTACGGCTTACCGCGTCTCTGTTTACAAACACCTGGTTAGCTATTGCCAATAACTGTGAAGTATTCATGCCTGCAAATCCTGCTGCTTCTGCAACTTTCTCCTGATGTCTTCTGCACACTGACTGACTAATGCCGTATTTACCATGTGTTGGCTTTCAGGCCTCTCAGGATCAAAAGGAGTACACATGCAATAGGCTTCACACAGTCTTTCACAAAACTGTGCCGGGCTTTCCTCTTTCCCTTGAATGACCTCAGAGACTTTATTGATATTTGTAGCTTTCTGGGCTCCCTTTTTCAATCCTTCCAGTAAGGCCTGTCTGTACCAGGTTAGCCTTTGCATGCCCTTTGGGGTGTTTGGATCCCACTGGGGGTCAGTCCCTGGCAGCTAGGCCCTGACATACTCTTGGGGGTTCTGGTAATCTACTGGGACATGCTCCTCCAAACATTTGGAAGCAGCTTGAAGTACTCTCCACCTTTCATCAGTGTTAAAAAGATACATAAGCAGCCGGTGGCAGTCAGCCCAAGTGGGGTTATGTGTCTGGACGATACTTTGCATTAGGTCAATGAGAGCTTGGGGCTTCTTGGTATAAGACGGGGTGTTATTTTTCCAGTTGGTAAGATCAGCCGAGGCGAACCGCAGGTATGTGAAAACATGTCTTTCCACCATCCTCTCCGGTATACCTTTGCTCTCTTAAAGGCATCTGCACCCCTGCCTTGGGTTGCAGATGGGCTGCTAGAGGGGAATTTCCTCCTGGGAGGCGAGTGGCTATGGGAGGAGTCCCTCCGCATTCTTTCTTTTCTGGGTGGTTTGGAGGTGTGCAATTCTGGCAGGGATGCTGAGGCTGCAGGCCCAGGGGCAAGGACTCCTTCCTCCTGACAAGGGGGAGGGGGTGTCATCGACAAAAGCCCTCTGCCATTGGATCTGTCAGGACCTTAGGAGCCTGTGTCCCTCGGCGGGTGGAGCGGGATTTTTCCCCAGCTGCCTGCCCCTTTGCCATCGGTACAGTTGCTGCCTATTCTCTCAGCCACTGTGGAGGGTTTAGAACTAGCTGTAGCTACAAGTGTATGTATAGAAATTGATCAGGGTGTCCTAGCTTGCATGTAACTTTATGCCATATTTTGGAGACAAGAGACCTGTCTAGGCTTCCCTCTGAGGGCCAATCCACCCCAAATGTTGGCCAGTCTACCTCACACAAGGTCCTCAGCTTTCCTGGAGTCATAGTCACTCCATAATCCCCACTAAATCCCTTCTTGAAATTTTTCAGCATAGCCCCAGAGAAGTAGGCTTGCTGTGAGTGTGACCCATGTTTTGCACAGAAAACAGTACTCACAGGCAGTAGAGTTGTACTCCACCCTCAGTTTTTCCCACCCTGTACTATGTGACACATTTTCACTTTCCCTTTAGGCCGGTAGGACCATCTCCCTCTCAGGAGTGCTTGTGACACTGCTTGGCATTGGAGAGTTCATTAATCCCCCTGCAATACCTAGACTGTGAGGGCACCTCCTTCTAGCCATATGTGGATTGCCCCTAATCCCAGCTGGCCCCACAATACATTCTGGGCTTACAGACCTCTCTAATGGACCTGCTGCACCCACATTTCATGGCTGGTGAGTCCAACTGGACCCCTCCATTCACTCACACAGTCATGCACCTCCCCCAGTTTTCCCCGCCCTGCACAGTGCAGTACACTCTCTTTTATTTTCAATTCAGGCCTGTAGGACCGTCCCTCTCGGGAGTGCTTTCAGATGCCACTTAGCATTGGAGAGTTCATGAATCCCCCTGCAATACATAGATTGCGAGGGCACCTCCTTCTAGCTGTATGCAAATGTCCCCTAATCCCAGCCAGCCCCACAGGAGCTTGCAGCCCTCTCTAACGGACCTGGTGTTCCCACATTTCACAGCCAGTGAGTCCAATTGGACCCCTCCACTCATTCACACAGTCATTCACCTCCCTCCACCCAAACTGAAACCAAAAGCAGGACTTCCAAGGTTAGTTACAGAGAGAGAGAGAGCCAAGTTCAAGAGTGCCAAATCCGGCACACATGGGTGATTAGGCCACGTTTCCACTTAAAGGAGGTGGGCAAGTTTCCCAGGACCGGTCCTACCGTGTTTTTGTCATCCAGACACTTCAGGCACCCATTCCTTCTCAGTGTTCAGCCACTGGGTGGATCCACACTGTGGGGGCATACCCTGCTTTTTCTCTGGCAAGATATTCCACCGGGGCCAATGCCTATCCGGGAGCGCTCTCGGGACTCACGTCGCCCAAACGGGCTGGAGTCCCCACAGTGGTGCTCCACAGGGCAAGGCAAAACCACCTGGGAGGCTGTCCCAGCCGTCTGCCAACCAAAACTCATTTCCCAGTCGGGGAACCAAAATGAAGCAGGGGCGGCCGCGAACAAACCTCTCGAACACCAAACGGGGAAGGAAGCTGCAGCAGGTGAAAACACCTTAACAACCAAGTTCCTTGACAAAGAAAATCCTTGCCCTTTTAAAGCCTTACAATTCTAGAAATTACATGTGAAAGGATCTTGATCCATGAAGTAGGTGTGGGGTATATGATTGGGTGGTGGTTTGATCGTGTTTAAGCAAAAACAATGCCTTCTGGAAAGATTCCTCCGTACTATGCCTGGGATCTACAGGAGTGTGATTAAGGGTGGCACCCAGTCTGCCAGCCTTTACTTCTATTGAAATGCAATGTAGAAGTCTAGGGGGAAAGAGTCTTCAAAGCTTAAGAGGATTAAGGGTCTCCTTTCTCAGCATAGCCTCCCCCATTATCAACATCTCCTCCAGAGAGGTGTTTGTTCTAGTGGATGAACCTACACTGACACATCGTTGTCACCCAAAGTCCGTAGTTCACAGGAGAGTTCACTGCTTGCATACATTCTATGGGTTTGGGCAAACGTATAATGGCATGTATCCACATTATAGTATCATACAGAGTGTTTTCAGTGCCCTACAAATCCCCTGTTCTCCACCTATTCATCCTTCCCTCTGCAGTTCCACCCCCAACCCCTGGTGACCACTGATCTTTTTACTGTCCCATAGTTTCAGACTGTTTGTTTTTTCAGACAGACATAGAGCTCTCTTTCCCTTAGTTTCCTTTCTCTTATTTCTTTTTCCCCATCAATCATAAAAGGCTATGAGGTTTTTTCCCTAAATGTTGAACACCATCCTACTGGTCAAGCTAAAAATATAAGCTCCTGGCTGGGTGCAGTGGCTCATGCCTGTAATCTCAGCATTTTGGGAGGCTGTGGCAGGAGCATCACTTGAAGCCAGGAGTTTGAGACTAGCCTGGGCAACATAGCAAGACCTCATCCCTACACACAGACCACACACACACACACACACACACACACACACACACACGCTCTTGCCAGAATTAAAGCTGCAAGTTGTCCTCAGGTGCTTAGATCAGTCCTTTAATTAGATTCAGATTAAGATGCTTCCTCCTTGAAACAATGATTCCCTTTCTGTCATGCCCAATAAGAAAAAAAATAAAAATTAAATAATATTGCCTGTAATCCCAGCTACCTGGAATGTGGAGGCACAAGAATTGCTTGAACCTGGCAAGCAGAGCTTGCAATGAGCTGAGATCGTGCCACTGCACTCCAACCTGGGCAATAGAGCAAGACTCTATCACAAAAACAAAACAATATGATTTTTTCCTCTAAGTCCTGCGCAGGAAAATGTTAAGAAATAAGTCTACCAGGAAAGAAGGAAGTAAGAATGTTTGACTAGATCTTCTTGGAAAAAGTAATTACACTTTCTTGCTTATCTTCCTAACAGTTCTCCAAAGCTTCGTACCCTGGCCAGAGGCCTGTCTCCTGCGTACCTGAGGTTTGGTGGCACCAAGACAGACTTTCTAATTTTCGATCCCAAGAAGGAATCAACCTCTGAAGAGAGAAGTTACTGGCAATCTCAAGTTAACCAGGGTGAAAATTGTTAAAGATTAACTCTGTATTTTAATTAACGTGAGTTCGTCATGAGAATGCTTAGAGAAAAATGTTATTGCTCACACCTAACAGTTCATAAGAGATTAACTTCCTCTCCCCTCATCTGGCCTGTGGAGGAACCTGAACAAAAGGAGGAGGCAGGGCTGGGTGCGGTGGCTCATGCCTGTAATCCCAGCCCTTTGGGAGGCCAAGGCAGGTAGATCACCTGAGGTCATGAGTTCGAGACCAGCCTGACCAACATGGAGAAACCCCCATCTCTACTAAAAATACAAAATTAGCCAGGCATGGTGGTTCAAGCCTGTAATCCCAGCTACTCAGGAGGCTAAGGCAGGAGAATCGTTTGAATCTGGGAGGCAGAGGTTGCAGTTAGCCGAGTTGGCACTACTGCACTCCAGCCTGGGCAACAGAGCAAGACTATGTTTCAAAAAAAAAAAAAAAGGAAAAAAAAGGAGGAGGCAGTGGGCAGGTTTCCTTATCATGATGTTTGTCATGTTCAGTGTGAGACCTCACAAAAAAAGATGTCCTGACTATAACTGAAAGCTCATTGTACTGCAAATATTAACAGAACAGTGATTATAGCTGAAGGACAGAGCTGCCTGGAGGGAACACGTAGGTAGAATTGCATCAAACTAAAGAGAGTATTTCTAGCTGAAGACAGGATGATAGATTGAAGGATATAGATTCTAAAAATAGAATGTGAGTGAAAGAGATCCATGATCACCTGGGTGAGTTTAAATATTAGGAGTCCCTGAGCAAGTGCTCCCAGGCAGAACACTCATGCCGAGTCTCCCAAGTCCAGAGGATGTATAAAATATAAATTTACTAGAATACGTTATATACATGTTATTATAATTCAGTGGTATATACAATATTTTCAGTACCTTTTTCTTTTTTTTAGGGAGGGAAGGAGGAAGGGAGGAAGGCAGGAAGGGAGGGAAGGAGGAAGGGAGGGAGGAAGAAAGGGATGAAGGAAGAAAGGGAGGAAGGGGGGGAGGGAGGGAGGGAGGGAGGGAGGGAGAGAAGGGAAAGGAAGGAAGGAATTCAAGCAATGAGAAAGACATTGCCGACCTGGATCTAGAGGTTTACAAGTTGATTTCTTTTTTTGAGAGAAGGAAAGAAAAAAAAATGAGTAAAGGAGAGAAAGAAAGAGGAAGAGAGAGAGGGAGGGTGAACGGAAATATTGCTTTATTCTGAAAAAAAGAAATGGGTATTAATAATGGCCAATCAATGTTTCATTTAAACCTATGAGTAGGTGTGATGTGGTATTGACAAGAATGTATATTTTGTGTATTTGAAGTGGAGAGCTCTATAAATATTTATTAAGTTTACTTGTTCCAGATCTGAGTTCGAGTCCTTGATATCCTTACTAATTTTCTGTCTCATTGAGTCTAAGTCTCTATGTATCTGGGTGTTAGGATCGTTAGCTCTTGTTGTTGCATTGATCCTTTTACCACTATATCTTTGTTGCTTTAAAATCTATTTTATCCACTACGAGAATTGCAACTCCTGCTTTTATTTATTTATTTATTTTTGCTCTCCATTTGGTTGGTAAATCTTTCTCCATCCCTTTGTTTTGAGTCTTTGTATATCCTTGCATGTGAAACAGGTCTGGATGTAACATGCCGTTGGGTTTTGGCTGTGTCTTTTGATTGGGGGATTTAGTTGATTTAAATTTAGGGTTACTGCCATTTGATGTTAACTGGCTGTTTGATCCATTCGTTGATGAAAATTCTTCTTTATGTTGGTGCTCTTTACTTTTTGGTTTATTTTTAGAAAGGCCAATACTGGTTGTTTCCTTCTGTGTGTAATGCCTCTTTCAGAAGCTCTTGTAAAGCAGGCCTGGTGGTAATAAAATCTCTGAATACTTGCTTGTTCATAAAAGATTTTATTTTTCCTTCAGTTATGAAGCTTAGTTTGGCTGGATATGAAATTCTGGGCTGAAAGTTCTGTTCTTTAAGGATGTTGAATATTGGCCCCCACTCTCTTCTGGCTTGTAGAGTTTCTGCTGAGAAATCTGCTGTAAGTCTGATAGGCTTGCCTTTGTGGGTAACCTGACCTTTCTCTCTGGCTGCCCTTAGTATTTTCTCCTTCGTTTCAACCCTGGTGAATCTAATGATTATGTGCCTTGGGGTTGTTCTTCTTGAGGAATATCTTTGTGGTGTTCTCTATATTACCTGGGGTTGAATATTGACCTGCTTTGCTAGTTCAGGAAAATTTTCCTGAATAATATCCTGAAGAGTATTTTCCAGCTTGGATTCATTCTCTCCATCGCATTCAGGTACACCTATCAGACGTAAATTTGGTCTTTTCACATAGTCCCACATTTCTTGGAGACTTTGCTCATTCCTTTTTATCCTTTTATCTCTAATCTTGTCTTCTTGTTTTCTTTCATTAAGTTGGACTTTGACCTCTGTTATCCTTTATTCTGCTTGAACAATTCGAATGTTTAAACCTGTGCATACTTCTCGGAGTTCCTGTATTGTAGTCTTCAGTTCCATTAATTCACTTATATTCCTCTCTAAGTTGTCTATTCTCAATAGGATTTCGTCAAACCTTTTTTCAAAGTTCCTAGTTTCTTTACGTTGGGCTACAACATGTTCTTTTAACTCACAGAAGTTTCTTATTATTCATTCCTTGAAGAGTGATTCTGTCATTGGGATGCGCTTGTTCTCCGTCAAGCCCTGTTCCATTGTTGATGTGGAACTGTGATCATCTTTAGAGAGAGAGGCGTTCTGATTCTGAGTATTCTCAGCCTTTTTATGCTGGTTTCTTCCCATCATTGTAAATTTATCCTCCTGTCGTCTTTGAAATTACCAGCTTTCAGATTAGGTCTCTTGATTGGACGTCCAAGTTGTTAGTTCCCAGGGCCAGAACAGCGGCGTTAAGACTGATGGTGCCTTTCTGCCCAGGATTCTCCTGTCTGGCTTCCTTCTTGTGTCCGTAATGGGCGACTCTGCCTTCCCCAGGCTCCAAACCTCGGTCAGAAGGGGAACCAGTCTCGTTTACTCTGCGCCGAGAGCTGCCTCACTGAGGCACCGTCAAAGCCGCTGCACCAGTCTCCGGAGTCGTGCTGGGGACCCGTGTGGGTCCTCCAAACCTCGGTTGGAAGGGGAGCCGGCCCTGTTTACTCTGCTCCGAGAGCTGCCGCACCGAGATGCCGGCGATACCGCTGCGCCGGCCACAAGAGTCGCGCTAGCGACCCGTGTGGTTCCTCCACTGGGGATCTTCTGCTCCCTGAGCGACCAGAATTTGTCTGAAAGTGTGGCGTTCTCTAGTTCTCTGTGCTTTGACTGAGAGCTGCAATCCCGAGCTGTTATCGATCGGCCATCTTGGATCATTCTCCACCTTTTTCTTTTTAAATTATTAAAAAAGGGGGTGGGAAAAAAGAAAAAAAATTATTAAAAAATATAGATACGGTCTCTCTACATTGCCCAGGCTGGTCTCAAACAGACTCTGATGTTGGAGCTTATACACCTCCAGGGCCATTTTATACACCTTTTATTTTATAAAATAAAAAGTGTATAAGCTCCAACATCAGATTCTGATTTTAGCAAGCTTGTCAGGTGATTCTTATATTGAAAGTCTGTGACCTTCACCTGAGAAACCGGCCCTAGGGAGCCATGAAAATGTGACCTGTCTTTCAGAAGTGCTATCAGCCATCCAATGGAAGTTAAATCATTATCTTAATTACTAGGCTGGGTGCCGTGGCTCACACCTGTAATTTCAACACTTTGAGAGGCTAAGGCAGGAGGATCACTTGAGCCCAGGAGTTTGAGACCAGCCTGAGCAACATAGAGAGACACTATCTATATTTTTTAAACAATTTTTTTCTTTTTTTTTACCTTTTTTTCCTCTGCCCCCTGTTTTAATAATTTAAAAAGAAAAAAAGTACTGAAAATATTGTATATATCATTGAATTATAATAACATGTATATAATGTATATATTTATTATGTGGAATATTTGATTATTTCATATATTATATCTTTTCCTTCTGTTTATTTCCTCCAGTTAGGAAGTATTTAGAACAGTTCATCAGTAATTAGGGCTAAATTGATGGAATAGTAATTAGAGAAAACAGAAAAAAGACAGTTGGGTTCTCTTTGAATACCAGGTTGGCATTGTTTATAGGTTTTTTTGTGTTTTGAGGGTTTTGGTTTTTTTTTGACAGAGTCCTACTCTGTTGCCCAGGCTGGACTGCAGTGGCACAGTCATATCTCACTGTGGCCTCAACCTCTTGGGCTAAAGCAATCTTCCTACCTCAGCCTCCTGAATAGCTGGGACCAGCTATTCAGATGTGCATGCCACCACACCCAGTTATTTTTTAAATTTTTTGTAGAGACAGTCTTTCTACATAGTCCAGGATGGTCTCAAACTCCTGCACTCAAGTGATCCTCCTGTCTTGGCCTCCCAAAATGTTGGGATTACAGGTCTAGCCACCACACTTGACCTAGTTTCTGTTTAGACTTGGCCTTTTCCCACCAGTCATGTGTGTCCAAAAGATCTCATCAGTTCAGACAGGAAGCTGTCCTTTGTTCATCAGTTTTCTTCATCCTGTGTCTAGGAGGATGGTGGGTGAGGGGAACTGGGGTTATCCAAGTTCCTCTGAAACATCCTCTGTGAGCCCAGGGACAGATGAGGCACCAGCTGCCCGTGAGTCAGTGTGCAGCTTTCCAGAAGGGAAGTGTCAACCAGTCAGCCAGCCCTGGCAGCCAGCACTAAGTAACCCTACTGTCTTGCGATGATAAAGAAATGGTCTGCCTGACAGGATGGGGTGGATTTTTCTTTTTTCTTTTCTTTTCTTTTTTTTTTTTTTTTTTGAGACAGGATCTGGTCTGTCTCCCAGGCTGGCATACAATGGGGGGAATCTCAGCTCACTGCAGCCTCTACCTCCCAGGCTCGAGTCATCCTCCCACCTCAGTCTCCTGAGTAGCTGGGACCACAGGCACACACCACCACACCAGGCTAACTTTTTGTATTTTTAGTAGAGACGGGGTTTTACTATGTTGTCCAGGCTGGTCTCAAACTCCAGAGCTCAAGCTATCCATCTGCCTTGGCCTCCCCAAATGCTAGAATTACAGGCAGGAGCCATTGTGCCTGGCTGGGGTGGATTTTTTCAGTGCACAAGTTGTGGTCCCAGAGCTTTGATGGTACCAAGTTCAAAGGGAGAAAAAGCCAACGGTTCCCACTCATCCTACCTCCCATGATGGCAAGAGGAAATCACCACACTGCAGATACAGTCCATGTAAAACAAATTGCTGTGGATTTTGAAAGCGAACCTTAAGAGAACTATACTGTTTTCTTATTAGGGTTCTCTGGTTATTTAAGCTTTTTTTTTTTTTTTTTTTTTTTTTTCTGAGACAGAGTCTCACTTTGTTGCCCAGTGTTGCCCGGGCTGGAGCGCAATGGTGCGATCTTGGTTCACTACAACCTCCAGGAGTGAGGAAGTGATTCCCCTGCCTCAACCTCCCAAGTAGCTGGGATTACAGGTGCCTGCCACCATGCCCAGCTAATTTTTTTGTATTTTTAGTAGAGATGGGGTTTCACCATTTGGCCAGGCTGGTCTCAAACTCCTGACCTCAAGTGATTCACCCGTCTCAGCCTCCCAAAGTGCTAGGATTACAGGCATGAGCCACTATGCCTGACCAGTAATTTCAAGCTTCTGAGGAGCCCTCTAAATTGTTAAATAACTTGGAGCTATATCCAACGTATCTATGTTCAGTGTATGTTCAGTATTTCTTAGGAAACCTGCCCTTGATTGTTTTCTTTGTGGTGATTGATGAGCCAGCAAATTTGACATGTGTTACAGAATATATCTTTTCTCTGCTCTCCTACCTTATAACCAGAACTTAATTATCCTGCTTTAGTCACATAAGTAGCTAACTAAATAAATATATGGAATTTCAGCCTGCTCACTGTGAAAATAGATCCTCTAAATGATCTCTTCCACTTGCAGATATTTGCAAATCTGGATCTATCCCTCCTGCTGTGGAGAAGTTGCAGTTGGAATGGCCCTACCAGGAGCAATTGCTGCTCAGAGAACACTACCAGAAAAAGTTCAAGAACAGCACCTACTCAAGTAAGAAATGAAAGGCACCCTAGAGGTATTCCAGCCCCAAAGATATTTGGATAGGCTGGACTCGGGCACCAATCTAGCAAGTCCTACAGAAGTTGTATAAAGCTAAAAATATTGAAGCATTTCCCAAATGGGAAATCCTGAACTCAAAATTTGTTTGTTTTTTCTTCATCTGACATTGCCTAGTAGCCACAGAATGAAAGATAAATCAATCATTCATGATCTAACAATGACCTTCACTGCTCTAAAAAACTAGGGAGTCAGGGAAAATATGAATGTATTCCTTATGTAAAATTAAAATACAGATATATAAAGGGTAAAATGTGGACATCATTCATACCTTGCTGTCCATCCCCTTCCCAGAAATAACTCCCAGGATGCACTGGTTTAGAGCATTAGGCAGGGGGACCCTGAGTCACTCCAGACGGTCTTGGCCACCAAGCAGCATTCTTTTTGTTTCCTCTGAGGCTTTGCAGACACAGGGCTAGCTCAGCTAACCATTATTGTATTTCCAGTCACTAAAACAGTCTTCCAGTCTTCCAAATAGGATGACATTGTCACATGGGGCTTTAAAGCAAGTGAAACAAGCAATCCTCTTTTTTTTGAGACAGAGTTTCGCTCTTGTTACCCAGGCTGCAGTGCAATGGCGGGATCTCGGCTCACCGCAACCTCCGCCTCCCGGGTTCAGGCAATTCTCCTGCCTCAGCCTCCTGAGTAGCTGAGATTACAGGCACGCACCACCATGCCCAGCTAATTTTTGTATTTTTAGTAGAGACAGGGTTTCACCATGTTGACCAGGATGGTCTCGATCTCTTGACCTCGTGATCCACCTGCCTCGGCCTCCCAAAGTGCTGGGATTATAGGCGTGAGCCACCACACCCGGCCTGCAATCCTCTTTTTAACTATGAATTATATTTTTATCTGAAGGTTGACATTTATACCCAACTGAAGGGTGATGTCACCCCATGTCTCAGTTAGAGAAGTAACCTGCTCAGATACTCTAAAGCTCTTCTTTTGACTTTTGAAAATAAATTATCTCAAAGTTACTGTACTTTAACTGGGTTAGTTAACATTATTTAAAGTATATTGTTTTAATTAATAAACTATGTTTGTAAGATTTTACATATACTACCTGGAGTTCCATGTATCAGATGGATTTCAAATTTATATACATTTTTGTGTATATGGTACAGAAAAATATGTGATCTATAAGAAATCAGAAAATAGTTTATATGCTAATAGCTAATGTCCGCTAAACTTTTTTTTGTTTTTGCATTTTAAGAGGGAGATCAACTCTGATACTTTAGTAAGTGTAATTAATTATTGAGTGGAATGTGGCATAAGGCAGGGCCATTTCAGATCCCATTAAAGAAACCACAGAAGTAAGGTCATGTTTGTGATAAATCATTATAGCTCTGCTAGGAGAAGACCCTGTGGTATTAGGTAATTAAAGGATTTGCTCTTAAAACACATGTCCCAGAAGATATGGGTAAGTCTTGGGGAGGTCATATTAAACATTATACCAGTTCATCTTAAATTTCTAAGAAAGTTTTGCAACTTCACATGATCTCTCTATTACCAGAATGGTAGGTTTCCAACTCCAGTACTTGGCTTTCATAGTTCCTACACCAAGGGAAATGCCTTCCTCTGCTAACTGTGCAACTGGATTAGTGTGAGTCCAGCCCCCCTGCTGGCAATGCTAAAATGTATAACGAATACAGAATTTTATTTGTATTTGAAACATTTGACTTCTGGCTTGAAATTTTTCGTTTTCATGGGGCACATCATGGAAACACAGAAATCTACTGTGTTTAGTTTGGGCACCTACTCGTTGTAGTGACAGATATTTCAGCAGCCAATAGGAGATTCCATACATTGCTCTGAACCTGTGGCTGAGGTTGGTAATGCCTGAGTGACATAGGGACATACCATAGAGGAAGAGGTAGCAAAAGCCTGCTGAGACAAGGCCATGTTCATTGCTTAGCTAGTGGCCTGCACCCTTAAAACAGGTGTCCCAGAAGATATAGGTAAGTTTTCTAACACAGGTCCTCTTGAATGGTGTGCTCCACTTAAGCAGAAGATGACAAAAACATTTGTCATGAGAATATGGACTCACATTTTAAACCTGTTTGAGCAGGAAAAGGAAGCGATGTTACAGATGTAATTCTGGGTGTGACAGCAGAAAGGATGACGCCCTTATTAGAGTAATCATCCTGAGTGAACTAACTCTTTGTACTTCTTCTCCTCCTGTTCCCCTCATCACCCCATCCTTCCATCCCCTACACCCTGGCCCACACTGGATGCTGATATAGACTTACATGGTACAGTGCAAAGGAAAGGGTTTGCCATTTTTTTTCGATGTGTCATCTTGGTTACCTTCATTCCAAGGATCTCTCCACTCTTTATACAGTAAGAGATGAAAGTTTGGAAAAGGATTTGGGATACAATAATGAATTGCAAGTTTTTTAAATGTTCTTTCTATTGTGGGGAAGGTGTAGGCTAGGTGGCCCTTCTTTTTTAAAAAAAAGTTTTTTTATTTTAGAGTAGATTTGGCCAGGTGCGGTGGCTCACGCCTGTAATCCCAGCACGTTGGGAGGCTGAGGCAGGTGGATCACTTGAGGTCAGGAGTTTGAGACCAGCCTGTCCAACACGGTGAAACCCTGTCTCTACTGAAAACATAAAAATTAGCCAGGCATCATGGCATGCACCTGTAGTCCCAGTTACTTTGGTGAAGGAGGCAGGAGAATCACTTGAACCCATGAGGCAGAGGTTGCAGTGAGCCAAAAATGTGCCACTGCACTCCAGCCTGTGTGACAGAGCAAGACTCTGTCTCAAAAAAAGAAAAAAAAAGAGTAGATGTGAATTCAGTCATCAATAGCCTCTGTTCCAGGAGATGTTACAGTTTATTATGTTATAGGGGGTGGATAATAGAATTTCAAGCTATGCAAATTCCAAGCACATTTGAAAGAATGAAGAAATGGAGGAAGGGGAATGTATGAGCGCAAGAATTCCAGGTTTTGTGAAAATGCTATAATCTTTATACACAGGGATAGTACAAAACGCTATTTATCTGTAAGAGATATTTTGTGATTTACAGACAGTTTTCACATGTGGTATTTCAACCTTGGTTTTATGGAGTAGGCATGTGATGGTGTTTGTCTGAGAACTGTAGATCCATAGTTGAGGTTCATGTAGGGTAAAGATATTACCCTCGATCATATTATGGTCTGTAAGTGGGAGAGCTGTGCTTGGAGCTCAAGTCTTACAATTCCTGATCTAGGACACCTTCTACAAGATGATTTTGCAATATACAAGCCTATAATATGTGACTAAAGCAGGTGAGTCACCCCTTGTAACAGTCTCTAGTAATGGCACTGCCACCAAACGGCTGTGTGATATTAGGCAAAGACTTACCTTGTTTGGATCTCAGTTTCCTCCTAGAAAAATGAGGGTAGAGGTTAAGCTGGTGATCCCAAAGCCTCCATACTACCCTAAACTGTGGCTCTAGACCCAGTAGAATGCTAGGTCACAGGACTCTAGAGAGTTTTTCAAACCCAAAGGTCTGTCATTCCTTGATGGTAGGCAGCAGTTTTTGGAAGTGGGTGACACAGCAAATATCAAAACACCTAAAACTTACAAGAGTTGTTTCTGCCTGATGGCCTTTATAATTAATATTAGTTTTTTTGTTTTTTAAGACAGAGTCTTGCTCTGTCACCAGGCTGGAGTGCAGTGGCATGACCTCGGCTCACTGCAACCTCCACCTTCCAGGTTCCAGCACTTCTGTCTCAGCCTCCCGAGTAGCTGGGACTATAGGTGCATGCCATTGCACCCAGCTTATTTTTGTATTTTTAGTAGAGACGGGTTTCACCATATTGATCAGGCTGGTCTTGAACTCTTGACTCCAGGTGATCCATCTGCCTCAGCCTCCCTAAGTGCTGGGATTACAGGCATGAGCCACCGCACCCAGCCTAAATAGTTAATATTTAACATTATACTATAGTTATTCAAGTAATTCAGGCCAAAGATTTAGAAACAAAACAAAAACAAAGTCACTTTTAAGGTGTATGTTTGCCAGATAGATAATTTTTTTTTAACTATAAGAGTTCAGGAATGAATTACTCTTTAACAAACAATTCTAGATACACATGAAAATTGGAAGGACTTTCTATGCATATGATAATCAATTTAAAGACAACATTTAAAATAATATTGTTGCTACTCTCAAAAAGTGATAGTATAACAGCTAATGGTTTAAAAGCAGAGGACAGAAGTTCCCAAACTTATGGCACCTTAATATCTCAGAAAATTTTTTTACAGTATGCCTAGGCCACAAAAAATACCTGTGTTTTGATTGTTAAATTGTAAGATCTACACAACCTAATAGTAATAGGTTGTCCAATAGATGTTGATGTTTTTCTCTTGCAAACTTAATAGATCCTGCAGTGCCTCTGTGAATAGCATTGCCTGGTTAAAGTTGAGTTTTAGATAAATAACTAATTTTTTTCATGTTAATTTTTTTTTCTTTTCTTTCTTTTTTTTTTTCTTTTTGAGACAGGGTCTCATTCTGTTGCCCAGGATGGAGTGCAGTGGCATGATCATGGCTCCCTGCAGCCTTGACCTCCCTGGGCTCAGGTGCCTCCCATCTCAGCCACCCAAGTAGCTGGGACCACTGGTACACACCATCATGCCCAGCTAATTTTTGTGTTTTTTGTAGAGACGTGGTTTTGCCATGTTGCCAGGGTGGTCTTGAACTCCTGGGCTCAAGTGATCTGCCCACCTTGGCTTCCCAAAGTGCTGGGGTTACAGGCATGAGCCACTGCACCTGGCCGCTGTGTTAAGTTTTTCTTCACAATTACATAGAACATGTACTAAAAATTATTTATTGCTTATCTGAAGTTCACATTTAACTAGGTGTCCTGCAATTTTAGTTACTAACTCCTGCAGCTGTACCCATGCATTCCCTGGTGCTCCCCAGCCTGCCTTGTAGAGTTTGGAAACCATAGTCCTATATCCCTAGGCTAATTTTTTCATGTAAAATTTGATTCATTTTAAATAAATAAATAATAGACAGGAATTTTTTTAAATTGTTTTAAATATAATTTAAATTATCAAAATGTTTTTTAAGTGAACTTGTGACCAGAGACATTTAGATCATGAAGAGTATGCTTTATGTTAACTAATGACTAGCTCAGTGCTCCACATGCATAGCCAGACTGTCATTAGTTAACATAAAGTGATGTTATGTTAACTAACTGCAGTGGCTCATGCCTGTAACCCCAGCACTTTGGGAAGCCAAGGTGGGCAGATCACTTGCAGGACACCTAGTTAAATGTGAACTTCAGATAAGCAATAAATAATTTTTAGTACATGTTCTATGTAATCGTGAAGAAAAACTTAACACAGCGGCCAGGTGCAGTGGCTCATGCCTGTAACCCCAGCACTTTGGGAAGCCAAGGTGGGCAAATTGTGGCTTCCCCAATTCTCCTCGTGTCACTTGAAGAAAACCTAAGTGTCAGACCAGAGCTTCTGGTATCTTCCATGGGACTTCATTCAACAGCTGGAGCAAATGAAGTCAGGTTGATTTTTTCAAAAATTTTCCAATTTTGTTGTCTCATAGACATAATCATTTATTAGGACTAGAATTTCTTCAGTTTAACAACAGAAATAGTAATTCATTATGAAAAGCAAATCTGGAAGCCTTCTTCATTGTGGTGCCAAGCTAATCATTAAATTGCAACATTTTTCTTTTAGGAAGCTCTGTAGATATGCTGTACACTTTTGCAAATTGCTCAGGACTGGACTTGATCTTTGGCCTAAATGCATTATTAAGAACAGCAGATTTGCAGTGGAACAGTTCTAATGCTCAGTTGCTCCTGGACTACTGCTCTTCCAAGAGGTATAACATTTCTTGGGAACTAGGCAATGGTAAGTACCCGAGGGAATAATTCATTAATAAGGAGATGCCCCACTAGCATTATTTCTTCCTATTTATGACACACTTTTTTTTTTTTTTTGAGACGGAGTTTTGCTCTTTTACCCAGGCTGGAGTGCAGTGGCGCAATCTCGGCTCACCGCAACCTCCACCTCCTGGGTTCAGGCAATTCTCCTGCCTCAGCCTCTTGAGTAGCTGGGATTACAGGCACGCGCCACCATGCCCAGCTAATTTTTTGTATTTTTAGTAGAGACGGGGTTTCACCATGTTGACCAGGATGGTCTCGATCTCTTGACCTCGTGATCCACCCGCCTCAGCCTCCCAAAGTGCTGGGATTACAGGCTTGAGCCACAGCGTCCGGCCTATGACACTCTTTTTAATATTAGCAAATACACTTCTGCCTGGGCACATTCTTACAAGTGCTCAACAATGCAACTTTTGTAACTGCAGATAGCAGAAAACTCCTGTATCTATTCCAGAACCTATTATTGCTAATCCCAGTTTATGTTACATTTGAAGTGAGAACCAGCTAGAGATAGCAACCTTCCTAGCTCCCAAGTTCCCTTGAGATTTTCAGAATCATTTAACCCTATTATGCTTGGCAGGCTGGCCTCAGCGAAACTGGGAAGTTAGTAGTTTGTTTTATTCATCCCTTCCTACCTGGGTCAAGCTCCTGATTGTCTCCTTCTTCACAATTTTTTGCAAAGAACTTGTAAATTCTAATGATAAGTATTCATGATTAGCCACATTTATTCAAAACATAGAGTGCTCTTTCCACATATCAACCAATGGAAATGAGGATTAAATGGGAAATGAAATGTAGTAATAAGGTGAGCACATCTTCTTCCTCCTCAAACTTTTTTTTTTTTTTTTTTTGAGACAAGGTCTTGCTCTGTTACCCAGGCTGGAGTGCGGTGGTATGTTCGTAGCTCACTGTAACCTCCAACTCCTGGGCTCTTGCAATCTCTCACACCTCAGCCTCCCAATTAACTAGTACTACACTATGCCTAGCCCATTTTTTTTCTTTTATCTTATTGTGTTGCCCAGGCTGGTCTCAATCTCCCAGCCTCAAGTAATCCTCCTGTCTCAGCCTCCCAAAATGCTGGGATTACAGGCATGAGCCACTGTGCCCGGTCCCAACCCTTTTTTTCTAAAGAAAATGAGGTTGTTAGATATGGAGCATAGGCTCCTTCCCAGATATCCGTATATATTGGTTTGTTACCCTCATTATTAACTTCAAATTGTTCAGTAGCCCCTCATAGCTCAGTTATACAGATAAAATTTTTCTTTTGTTTTTCTGGAGTATCTTATCCATAAATACAAATTTTACTTTGCTTGTTTTTTTGAGACAGCCCTGCTCTGTCACTCAGGCTGGAATGCGGTTGCATGATCACAGCTCACTACAGCCTCAACCTTCTGGGCTCAAGTGATCCTCTCCCTCAGCCTCCCAAGCTGGGGCTACACGCATGCACCACCATGTCCAGCTAATTTTTCTTTTGTTTTCATGGAACAGGGTCTCACTGTGTTACCCAGACTGGTCTCAAACTCCTGGCCTCAGGGGATCCTCTTATCTCAGCCTCCCAAAATGCTGGGATTACAGGCATGAGCCATAGCACCAGACCTGATTTTACTTTTCTTGACTTTGAATTATAAGTTTTTGTAATTTGGAAAATGTTTTGTTGCTTTTACATACTTCTGTATGTTTGCTTTTAAATACAATATTTCTCGATATATATTTTGAGAATTGCTGTCTTTCAGAACCTAACAGTTTCCTTAAGAAGGCTGATATTTTCATCAATGGGTCGCAGTTAGGAGAAGATTTTATTCAATTGCATAAACTTTTAAGAAAGTCCACCTTCAAAAATGCAAAACTCTATGGTCCTGATGTTGGTCAGCCTCGAAGAAAGACTGCTAAGATGCTGAAGAGGTAGGAACCAGAGGATGCAGAATCACTTTTCTTTTCATCTTTTTTTTTTGAGGCAGTCTCACCACTCCACCCAGACTAGAGTGCAGTGGTACGATCATAGCCGATGGCAACTTTGACCTCCCAGGCTCAAGCAATCGTCCCATCTCAGCCCCACAAATAGCTGGCACTACAGGTGAATGCCACCACACCTGGCTACTTAAAAAATTTTTTTGGTAGCGATGGGGTCTCCCTTTGTTGCCCAGGCTGATCTTGAACTCCTGTGCCCAAGTCATCCTCCCATCTCAGCCTCGCAGATTGCCGGGATTACAGACATGAGCCGCTATACCCAGCCACCACTTTTCTAAAAGAAAAAAAAAATCTCTCTGGTAGACAATCCTCAAAGTCCACATGTTATTAAACAATTTGCTGACTGGATACATGATTTGCCAAAAAAAATAAAATTTTGACTGGTTCGGAATATCAAGAGATCTGAGGCAAATGGCACCTATGATAAAATTTGCTACCAAAATTAGGAATTTTGTGTTCACCTGATCCTACAGCAGTAACCAGCCCATTTTTAGGAACTAAAACTCTCGTGCATATATTGTGCATATATATGTATTATCATATGACGACCGAGTGATAACTTAGTAAACATTTTTTTTCTAGCTTCCTGGAGGCTGGTGGAGAAGTGGTTGATTCAGTTACGTGGCATCAGTGAGTATGCCTCACCAGGAAAGGGAGGCTAGCTTTATTTATCATCTGGTTTTCAAAAAGTTAGTTCCACTTAACTGCCGATGGACTTTGCAGTTCAAATAAGAAACAAATAGTGTCTCAATTAGCACAGTACTCCATTTTTAATATTAATAAAACAAAAAGTTAAAGTTATTTTAAATAATGTGGTGGTTTCTATAAAGATCAAAGAACAGTGCCAATTAAACCATGGAACATATAAGTAGCTAAAACCAATTACTTGCCAAAGAATCAGTAACCCAGGAGTGCATGTACTTGCCCCTGTGTTTTTTCAAGACAGAGTAATAGATTTCCAGTTACTTGCATAGAATAGACACTTCCTCATATCCCCCTCTTATCTTGGTCTTTCCCTAGTAGAACTTCTACCTTTTCTTAGTAACAGGTGAGTGGGAGAGGCAAAAAGGAGAATAAGGTCAGCAATTAACCTAAAATAGAAAGTAACGTTTGGTTTTTTTAAAAAAATATTTTCTGAATAATTTAGCTACTACTTGAATGGACGAACTGCTACAAAAGAAGATTTTCTAAACCCTGAGGTACTGGACATTTTTATTTCATCTGTGCAAAAAGTTTTCCAGGTAATAGTCTTTTAAAAAATTTTTAATGTAAAACCAGAATCCCTATTTTATAGTCTAGCTAGTTCTAAATTCTATAGGTATATATATGTATGTGTTTTTCTAATTTTAGAGAATAAATTTATTCACTGTTAGTTTCCCCCTTAGCATTGGGTTTTACCCCATGTATGTGATTAGAAATTTGAGATATTTCCAATAGCCTTTAGTAGAATTAACTCAATAGATGATAAGAGTAGGGTGGTTTACTTCCTATTCCTTCCACAGCCTTCTATTCCAATAAAAGAAAATTTCCCAAGACCTAAATAACTATGAACATATTTTATAACTATGTAGGATAGATGGGTCTAGGAATACAAGGTTTTGAATGCTGTTTAACACCACAGGTGAAGCCACACATCAACTCTTTTGCAATTACCATGGATTCTTTTCTGTTCTATAGGTGGTTGAGAGCACCAGGCCTGGCAAGAAGGTCTGGTTAGGAGAAACAAGCTCTGCATATGGAGGCGGAGCGCCCTTGCTATCCGATACCTTTGCAGCTGGCTTTATGTGAGTGAGGCAGCACTGGCATTAGGAGTCAGAGTGCAGCTCTTCTCCATCCTTCTATTCCATTGAAATAGCTCCCCAGCCAAAAAGCAGATCAAAGACAGTTTCAGTGGCTGAGCCCCAAAATCCATACCAGATTTCATGAGAAAATGATTTACTAAAGCTTGATGGACATCTTTGACAAGTGTCCCAATTAATCATTGTAAGGATGAATTGTTTTAGAAATGTTGTCCTTTAATTATGGCCCATACAAACGTCAAGTAGTACTTACTCTAAAGAATGTGCATTGTAAAAGAATGCATATAGCTGTGTCTGGTAGTTCCCTGTAATCCCAACACTTTGGGAGGCCAAGGTGGAAGGATTGCTCGAGCCCAGGAGTTTGAGGCTGCAGTGAGTTATGATGCTACCACTGCATTCTAGCCTGGGCAACAGTGAGACACTGTCTTTTTTTTTTTTTTCTTCCCTCTGTCACCCATGCTGGAAGGCAGTGGCACAATCTCACCTCACTGCAACCTCCACCTCCCAGATTCAAGCAATTCTCCTGCCTCAGCCTCCTGAGTAGCTGGGACTACAGGCACATCACCCCACTGGGTTAATTTTTGTATTTTTAGTAGAGATGGTTTTTGCCATGTTGCCCAGGCTGGTCTGAAACCCCTGAGCTCAAGTGATCTGCCTGCCTCAGCCTTCCAAAGTCATGATTACAGACATGAGCCACCGTGCCTGGCTACACTCTGTCTCAAAAAACAAAAAACAAAAAAACCCCGCAACTTATAGCATATTACAAGCTTTGTCTCTCAGGAGGATACTTAGTGTATGTAGCTATAATTCATAGATTCCCAAGGAGTTTAGAGCCTGAAGTATGAGGTCCCATCAGAGGGACTATCATTGAATTTAAAGATTTATTAAATCATCTCATTATCCAACACACAAACTTGATTGCTTTAAAATACTGGTTTAGTTACATTCAGTAACTCTGTTAGTGCTTTTAACCTGTAGTGCTATATCCCCACAATGAAATTTTTTTCTCTTTTCTCTCCCATCTTCATTCTTTTTTCTCTCATCCTCATTCTTCCAAGCCCAGAATAAAGCACAAATCCTTTATGCTCATGGAAGCATAAAGAATAGAGAAAAGAATGGAGATGTTTGTTTTGCCATTAACTAAAGATCTGGGGTGTCAGGGAGAGGGGGATAGAGATGGAGAAGTGGAAAGAGGTGTCGATAATAGCTTAGATGCAGTTCTACTTATTTTACATTTCACCCCTGCCAACTGCAATTTTTTCTTCAGCGCTCACACAGTGGTTGTGCAGGGACCTCATAGGATGAAGAATTGTCGATAGGGGTGGGAATTGGTCCACTCTGCTTTGTGGAAGTTGTCTTACCCTGAAAGGGATACCTGTAGCATGGTAATAGTCTTCTAGGATTTGTTATCGTACGGAAAGATGTAAAGGGAGGGATTCTGCTGCTGCTGCACACAGTTGCCATTTCATTTAGATGACTTATGTGTAATTGATGACCTCCCTCAAAGATGAATATTGTTCAGGACCAGGCATGGTGGCAGGCACCTGTGGTCCTGTAACCACCCAACTGGTTCACCTTGCCCGCTGCCTAGACAGAGCAGATTATCAAGACAGGGAAATTGCAATGGAGAAAGTAATTCATGCAGAGCTGGCTGCACGGGAGACCAGTTTTATTATTACGCAAATTAGTCTCTAGGAACATTCTGGGATCAGAGTTTTTAAAGATAAATTGGTGGGTAGGGGTTAGGAAGTGGAGAGTGCTGTTTGGTTAGGTTGGAGATGGAATCATAGGGAGTGGAAGTGAGGTTTTCTTGCTGTCTTCTGTTCCTGGGTGGGATGGCAGAACTGGTTGGGCCAGATTACCCAACTGGGTGGTGTCAACTGATCCATCCAGTGCAGAGTCTGCAAGGTATCTCAAGCACTGATCTTAGGATTTTACAATCGTGAGGTTATCCCCGGGGACTCTTAGAGCCAGAGGCTGCATTACCCCTAAACTGTAATCTCTAATGTTGTAGCTAATTCGTTAGCTAGAAAGGTAGACTGGTCCCCAGGCAAGAAGGGTGTCTTTTCAGAAAAGGGCTATTGTCGGTTTTGTTTCAGAGTCAAACCGTGAACTGAATTCCTTCCCAAAGTTCAGCCTGTGCCCAGGAATAAACAAGGACAGCTTAAAGGTTAGAAGCAAGATAGAGTCAACTAGGTGGGATCTCTTTCACCGTCATAATTTCCTCAGTTATAATTTTTGCAAAAGTGGTTTCAGCCTACTTAAGAGGCTAAGGCAGGAGGATCACTGGAGCCCAGGAGTTTGAGGCTGCAGAGAGCTATGATCACGCCACTGAACTCCAGCCTGGGTGAAAGAGTGAGACCCTGTCTCTAAATAAATAAAAAATCAAGATGGTATGCAATTAGAATTGAGCAATTTTGTTTCCAAATCTGAAGAAAGCCTGATCTCGCTCTGTCCCAGGTGGCTGGATAAATTGGGACTGTCAGCCCGAATGGGAATAGAAGTGGTGATGAGGCAAGTATTCTTTGGAGCTGGAAACTACCATTTAGTGGATGAAAACTTCGATCCTTTACCCGTAAGTGACCATCATTTTCATAATTCTAAAAGAGTAAATTAAAGTCAACTTGGGTCCCCTGGTGTTAACCTCCTATGAATAATCAGTCCTCTCAATAACTAGCCAAATCATGAGATGATGAATTTAGGAAGAACCTTAGATATCATCCAGTCTGACATTTTTTGCATGCGTTTGAAGAGAAGAAATCAAAGCTAGGAATAGCTTATTAAATGTGAGCCATAGTAGTGTGGATTTTGTTTAAAAGAGAGATAATTTGAAATTTTATGACTCGTACAAAATAACAACTTGGATTTTCAAATGTTTTACAAAGTAATCAAAGTTATAATTGCCTACAGTATGCTTCAAAACATTTTTTATGTTATGAAATTGTAACTTATTTAACTTCAAAATGACCCAGTACCATATATTTGCTTAAACATCTTATGCTAAGAATTTACTATTTTGTTAATAATCTTCAAGATACTTAGGAATGAAGTCTCATTTCTAACCCTTCCTTCAACTACAGCTGGTGCTAAATCAGGAAATGTTTCTTCCCAAAAGCCTCATGGAAGATCTATATGTCTAAATATATGTCAGAGATAACATAGACGTAGCCCTGCGAAGCACGACCTTAATATTTATAGTCTAAAATGTCATTTGCAGATACCTGTTTTCTAAGAATAATTCCTGAGGGAATTATTTGAATGTTGTAGGAAAGCTAAGAAATTTTGCAAAGAGCATATGTGAAAATATAAGCTAGGCTTTTGTGGTTTGTGGATGGATTTCCCAACAAAATTGCTTTTTATCTATAGTGGTCCAAGCTTGTGGAACATATTACTCATCATTTTTTAGAAAATTCTTAGAAAAGTGACCTTGCAAAAATGGAATTTATCTTTCCCCATGTCATCTTAGAGTTAAACTAAGCTAAGCATAGCAATTTCACTAGACAAACATTCAAAATCTACTCCTGACCTTTTTATCTCATCTCATCAAATTTTCCCGGGGCCCAGACATAAATCTTTGACTTACAAACTCTTTGTATATGCACTAAATATGCTTCTCCTTCAAGGTTCTCAGTCAGCTAGAAAACCTTGCAAAAGTAAATGGTACCCTTGACACTTGTCGATCCAAGGGAATTGGACTTAAACTCACAGAACATGACTGTGAATTCACTTGATTTGCATGACAGTCCTGTAAGGTGACAAGGCAGGTATCTTGGATCCATTTATTAGATAAGGAACTTCACATTGAGAAGAGATCTCATGATTTACAGGAAGCCACGCTGCAGTCCTATGTTACTCTGAAAATCCCATTCACATCTTGCCTCTGAGACCCACATACTTTCTACCCTACTACTAGTCATTGACCCATGCTTATGTCTCCTTTGAAAACATTTAGTTGATTCCACTCTTGTCTCCAGTGAAAAAGGTGAATTTAAGCGGAGAAACAAAACTCGTTTGTCTTGTTTAGTCTACTTTCCCTCAATTCAAGAAAGAAAGTTGGGGTATGTGTTGAGTGGTGTTTTATTTATTTATTTTTTTTTTAATTGAGACAAAGTCTCTCTATATTGCTGAGGCTGGTCTCAAACTCCTGGGCTCACGTGATCCTCCTGCTTCAACCTCCCAGTGTTGGGATTACAGGTGTGAACCATTGTGCCCACCACCAACCCTAAGTTTTTTAAGAAGAACTTTTACTATAGAAAAGTTTAATCATACACAAAACACAGAGGAAAGTATATGGACCCACCTTAGGAGACTAGAATATGCCTCCCCAAAATATGCTACTTTGGCATAAGGATTACTTTGAGCTGAAGGCAACTGGGAAGAAACACACAGAAGAAAAGTTCTCTGTCCTCCTCCATTTGCCTAAAAGCAGGATATAAATTTACAAAAGTCCCCTCCTTCCCTTTCTACCAGGAAAAAGAAGAGTTAATCACTGAAGATAATTGCAGACCCTTATTGGTCTAAAGATGGCTCTAGAAGAATCTATATTACATACTCATTTATTTTCCTTCCCACAATTTGCCACCCCTAGAGACTCAAAATCCTTTTCCTTCGTCATGTCTGTTGTCCAAAAATGTATTGTTCTTTGCTAAAGATGCTATATAAGCTGGAGTTCTAAGTTACCTTGTTGAGAATTACTTGTTCCCTTGGTATTTTCTGCATATATATATATATATATATATGTGAAATATACATGTTAATATACTTACATTTGTTTTTCTCTTGCTTTATGTCATGTTACAGAGGTCCATCCCAAATAAGAACTAAAAGTAGAAGGAAAATTATGTTTTCCTCCTGCATATTTTGATCTTGTTTAATCCATAATCCTACCCACTTTTCACCTCCTACCTCTTAGATTACTTTGAAGCAAATTTCAGATATATTATTTTATCTATAAATATTTCAGTACGTGCTAGGTGTGATGGCTCACACCTATAATCCCAACACTTTGGGAAGCTGAGGCAGGAGGATCTCTTGAGCCCTGGAGTTCAAGACCAGCTTCAGCAACAAAGTGAGACCTCCATCTCTATAAAAAATCAAAAAGTTATCTGGGCATGGTGGCACATGCCTGTGGTCCTAGCTACATGAGAGGCTGAGGCAGAATGATCACTTGAGCCCAAGAGACTGAGGCTGCAGTGAGCTGCATTTACACCACTGCACTCTAACCTGGGTGACAGAGTGAGACCATGTCTCAAAAAATATATATATTTTAATATGTATTCTTTTTGTAAAAACACAATACTTTTATCATACTTTATTAATAATTCATAATTCCTTAGTATCACCAAATATTTTGTCAGTGTCTCACATTTTCCTTATTGCCTAAAATATTGTTGATAGTTTATTCAAATCAGAATCCAAACAAGGTCCATATACTGCATTTGGTTGATACATCTCTTAAGCTTGTTCATCTTTAAGTTCTTCCTCCCTTTCTTTCATCTCTTGTAATTTATTAATGTGAAAAAACAGGTAACTTGTTCTATAGGTTCTATATTACTTCCCATATGCTGGAGTTTTCTAAATTTTTTCCTGTGATACCATTTAGCATGTTCCTCTGTCCCCTGTATTTCCTATAAACTGATAGTTATGCCTAGAATCTTCAGTTTATTTAGTTTTTTTTTTTCTGCAAGAATTCTTTATTATGTGCTTCTGGAAGCTCAAATGTGCTTTGAGCTTCCCAGGCTGGAGTGCAGTAGCACAATCATGGCTCACTGCAGCCTTGACCTCCTGGGCTTAGGTGATCTTCCCACCTCAGCCTCCTGGGTACCTGGAACTACAGGTGCACACCACCGCACCTAGCTAATTTTTTAGAGAAGGGATTTCATCATGTTTCTCATACTGGTCTTCAACTCCTGGGTTCAAGTGATCTACCCACTTCAGCCTCCCAAAATGCTGTGGTTATATTTTGGCCACCGTGCCTAGCATAAATAACATTATTTGTCTCTTAAACAGACAGAAGTTTTACTTTAAAAATTTGTCTTTGTGCCGTGTGTGTGTGTGTGTGTGTGTGTGTGTGTGTGTGTCTGTCTAAAAGTTTGGCTTTGAGCTTTGCTTTGAATTCGTGGATGAAAGACAACCAAGAATACTTAAACTCTGATCATTCTTGACAGATATCCCCTAGAGGCTATGGCCTTTTGAATTGTACCCTCCAGTGATAAAAAGCAGCAAGCAAGGTATTGCTCTCAGATTCATGGTGGTCACATGCGAGGAAAAAAAAAAAAAGAAAAGAAGAATCCTATTTAAAAGCCCCAGGATAACAGTGATACTCTTTGTAGGATAACAATTTGGTTGCTACTGGTTTCGTTAAATAAGGAAGTAAGTAAAGATCTATTTTTGTCTCTTTTTCTCCCCAACTACCACAACTAGGATTACTGGCTATCTCTTCTGTTCAAGAAATTGGTGGGCACCAAGGTGTTAATGGCAAGTGTGAAAGGCCCAACGAGAGGGAATCTTCGAGTATACCTTCATTGCACAAACATTAACAAGTAAGTATGAAACACGCCCTTCACCAATCATCAAGTTTTAGCGGGTAAGCACGTAACTTTACTCAAACCACCCTGTTGCATATATCTATATATTGCATAAGTATAGGCAGTTGCGGTTTAGTAAAGTTTTATATGATTTTACTTTATTTTTTATTTTTTTTAAAAGGAAAAATGATACACTTGTTGTTGTAGTTTTTTAAGACAAAGGCTTGCTCTGTCACCCAGGCTGTAGTGCAAGCTCAGCTCACTGCAACCTCTGCCTCCCAGGTTCAAGTGATTCTTGAAAAGGAGAACAATAATAACCACAGTATAGTTTTCAAAAGTTGCAACCAGTTTCTAGAGTTGAGAAGCCACAGAGATTTCTGTAGCCTCATACTCTTGCTTGAGGTAGCAAAAAATGTTCCTAAATCTCAGGAATATTCTTAGATAGGTTTCAATCTATCATTCCTGATAAGATGATACTGAAATACTAATTCCAGCCAGAAAAACCACCTACCATTTCCCACTGTTGGCAACTGGGAATTCTGTGGATAGTGAGGACCCCACTAGGAAGTAGCAAGGGAATGGTTTTGAATGGATAAATTCATAAAAATGTCAATAGATTTAATTTTCTTATTTGTTCCAGTCATTTTATAAGGCTAGGAAAAGCCCCTGTTAGTATGTTTATAATTTGAATTCACATGAACCCACAGAATTTGCCTTTTACCTTCCTATGTCTGAAAATGGATAGTCTAGCCAGCTTCCCAGCAACCCAGTTGGCAGAGCTGTGAGGATCTCAGCATGATGCTTTAGCTTAGACGTTGGCAGCATGAGGAGCAATGATTTTAATCGTGTTTTCAGAATAGAACCACACGAGTGGTCTAATATGACCATACAAGAAGGATATTCAGCGGACCCACTGTCATCATGAATATGAATACTTAGGATCACATTTGTAATTGAGTTTTTTATTACTTAAATTAGATAAATATTTTTATTGAGTTAAACTATTTGCTTTTAGTCCAAGGTATAAAGAAGGAGATTTAACTCTGTATGCCATAAACCTCCATAATGTCACCAAGTACTTGCGGTTACCCCATCCTTTTTTTAACAAGCAAGTGGATAAATACCTTCTAAGACCTTTAGGACCTGATGGATTACTCTCCAAGTAAGTAATTTTCCTCGTTCATTTCAAACTTTCAACAAATTTATTGGTGTTTATCAGAACATAGAGTTTAGACAGGGAGCAAAAAACAAAGTCAACTATTTCAAGTTCTAAGAAGGCTTAATATTCAGGAAAATTCTGTGTGAATACTTACCAAGATGAGTATAACTCACCCTAAGAGTCTAAAGCAAAAGGATGTAAACACAAACTAGCAGTTCCTTAGAGAATAAGTTTCCATTTCAAAATAACTTGACATATCAAGATCCACTCAACACATTTAAATTATTTACTCTAAAAAGACAGAGTTCTTGGTAATGCATTAAGTAAGGCAATATACCTACATATAATTGCTATCAAAGGTATGTGGGTTGGTATAAAATATCATACCATGTGAGATCAGTGTGATTCTTTTATAGCATTCATTTTTACAGTAAGAAAAAGAATAGCTAGAGTGTACTTTTTAAGTAGATTCTCATACACTTTAGTTCAAAAACCAATTATTCACTACATAATTCAATGGAGTGCCAAAACAAATGACTACGAGTCTTGAAGAGTTAGGCATATAAATATTTTAAGGTTTCTGTTCAATGTATGTTGGAAGGAGTTTCTTTCTCATGACTATTCTCATATTGGAGCATAAAAAGAGTTTACAGCCTTGGCACAGCGGCTCATGCTTGTAATCCCAACATTTTGGGAAACTGAGGCAGGCAGATTGCTTCAGTCCAGGATTCGAGAGCAGCCTGGGCAATATGGTGAAACTCTGTCTCTACAAAAAATACCAAAATTAGCCAGGAGTGATGGCACATGCCTGTAATCCCAGCTACTTGGGAGGCTGAGGTGGGAGGATTCCTTGAGCTCAGGGGGTCAGGGCTGCAGTGAGCTGTGATGGTGCTCCTGTCACCCAGCCCGGGTGACAGAGTGAGACCCTGTCTCAAGATAAATAAATAAATAAATATTAAGAGTTTACGAAATTCTCAAAATCCTCCCTTCTTTGCAAATGCCACATAAGTGATGTGTTCCAGGAATATTAGCCTCGGAACCTGAGGCAGTCCAGTAAGCATGCTTTCTCCAACATTCTATCCCCCACAGACAAACATTATTAACACTGGTTACTGTTCTTTTCTGTTTTTTCCCTCTCCATGCTTTATTTTACTCTAACTATAATCATATAACATGTAATACGAAAAAGGCAAGGTTGGTGGCAAGGTCCAGAAGTCTTCCCAAAAGCCTTTCCACCGTTTTCTCTGTAGACATTTTTTCTTTTTTCTTTCTTTCTTTTTCTTTTTTTTTTTTGAGAGAGACTCTCACTCTGTCACACAGGCTAGGGTGCAGTGGCATGATCTCGGCTCGCTGCAACTTCTGCCTCCCAGGTTCAAGCGATTCTCCCACCTCAGCTTCCCTAGTAGCTGGGATTACAGGCATGCATCACTACACCCGGCTCATTTTTGTATTTTAAGTAGAGATGAGCTTTCACCATGTGGGCGAGGCTGGACTTGAACTCCTGACCGCAAATGATCCACCTGCCTTGGCCTCCCAAAGCGCTGGGATTACAGGCGTGAGCCACCATGCCTGGCTCATTTGTAGACATTTTTAACGGGCTGTGTGTTAACCATTTTCTTACTGCTTAAATCTTTTCTTCCCCCTGTTGTGAATAATGCATTTTAGGGTAACAGATACTTTTTTCAATTTCAATTCTGATCTTTTTTGAATTTTTTTAAGCATATTTTGTTTGCTGCTGATAAAAATAATTTTCTGAAGTAATTGAATAACAGTTGTAAAGTTGAAAGTGTCATAAGAGATCATTTTAGTCCAGCTACCCATGGAAAGCCCTTCAGGGTGACTGTTCTATCTGGCGAGGGTTAAGTGAGCCTCTTAGGGCCTTCGCTTGCTGCTCTTAGTTCTGTTCTCTAGAGGAGGAGTTGAAAACTATACCTCATTCTTGTTGACAAGTTGGTTTGGAGGATTCCCCACTTCCCTTTCTCTGGTAGGGGAGGTTGGCTTGGAGGATTCCCCACTTCCCTTTCTCTGGTAAGGGAGGTTGGCATGCACTTTGTGTTTCGTTTTTAGTTAATTGTCAACATCGAAAAATTGACAGCTATTAAAATATCAGGATCTCCAGCTTTTCTTTAAAAATGGATACTTGGCAACTCTGGGCTTGCTTTCTCAGATAGCTGGAGTTGAATGGGGGTTGTATACATTAGACAGGTCATTCAGCTTTACAGATATCTGCAGTCTCTACCTGACCCTATCATCTTATGCCTGTCCTACTGTTCTTGCACATATCACTTTCTTGGCCCTTGTGGCATTTGAGTTTGCCATGCCTAATCTAGAGTAATGCTGAATACCTCATTTTCTCTGCGATAACTCCCAAATATTTGAAGGAAAATTGGACTGTCTTGACTTTAGGATAACTATGTCCATCTTCAATGACTATTCTTTATGCTGTATTTAGCAGACCCTGTTACATTCTTTTTTTTTTTTTTTTTTTTTTTTTTTTTTTGAGGCAGTCTCACTCTGTCGCCCAGGCTGGAGTGCAGTGGCGCAATCCTGGCTCACTGCAACCTCCGCCTCCCAGGTTCAAGAGATTCTCCTGCCTCAGCTTCCTAAGTAGCTGGGAATACAGGTGCCCACCACCACAACTGGCTAATTTTTGTATTTTTCGTAGTGATGAGATTTCACTATGTTGGCCAGGCTGATCTCAAACTCCTGACCTCAAGTGATCTGCCCACCTTGGCCTCCCAAAGGGCTGGGATTACAGGCATGAGCCACATGCCCTGCCTCTATTACATTCTGATCACACATTTCATGTTTTATAATTGGAAAACTGGTGAAATTAGAGACAATGTTTTATTTCCCCTAAATTCTCTTTGATGAGTATATATTACTTACACTCTTCTGTCTTTAAAATTTTGCAAAAAAGTATCCTAGATAAGTTTATGAGTGCACAGTCTGTACACTTGCTCTTATTAATGATCTCAGAGAGTTAAACAACAGTCACCTTTAAGAATTATTACTCTTACTGTTATTATTATTATTGAGGCAGGGGTCTCATTCTGTCACCCAGGCTGGAGTGCAGTGGTGCAGTGGTGCAGTCAAGCTCACTGCAGCCACTGCTGCCTGGGCTCAGCCTTCCAAGTAGCTGAGACCACAGGCTTATGCCACCACACCTGGTTAATTTTTTAATTTTTTGTATGTTGCCCAGGCTGCTCTCAAACTCCTAAGCTCAACCGATCTTCCTCAGCCTCCCAAAGTGCTGGGATTGCAGATGTGAACAACTGCACCTAGCCCTAAAAATGATTAGGTTCCTGCATAACAAGTATTTAATAAATATTTGAATGAACATATATTTTTTTTAAAAAATAGAGATGAGGTCTCACTATATTGCCCAAGCTAGTCTCAAACTCCTGAACTCAAGCAATCCTGCCACCTTGGCCTCCCAAAGTGTTGGGATTACAGGCATGACCCGCCTCATCTGGGCTGAATGAACATATTTTTAACATAAAGGCAGTATTTTATATTTATCTCATAGATTTTGTCCAGCATCTCCACTTCTGCCGAATCTGTTGCTTGCTAATTCCTTCCAGCTTCATTTCATCTGAAATTTGACAAACATCTTCTATTTATTTGTCATCATGTTATTGACTTCAGAATATAAAATAAGACGCCACACCCAAATAAAACCCCATCCTCATTGCCCAGCCTGATGTGGAAATAATCATCATACATTAAGCTTACCCTTGATATATGTATAGTATCTTTTAGATAAATGTATAGCTGATTAAACAATATAGCCTGATGGTATAATATCTTGCCCATGTACCTCATCTTAGCCACAGCAGTATTAATTCACAATGGTCAGATTCACATTTAAGGTTTGTAGCAAAATATTCTCTCCAAAAGCATATCTAAAACTTTTGTGTGTACTCTGGTAAGGTTCTTAATTTCATGGAGAACAAACTCTTACCACTGTCAGTTGGAGAACTTTTCAAGACCTATTTTTGTTTGTGGTTTCCTGATGATGGTCGCAGCATTTCCTCCTTCAACCCATCTAAAAATTAGGTGATATAGGCTTTTAAACAAAACCAACTCGTAGACTGAGTACAACTACAATGCAGACATGCTAGCCTCTGGCACAATCATGGCCGTGCTATGATATATCTTAAGTTACAGAGCCCAGGGCTGAGCATCTCATTAGGTCAAAATGGAAACCTATTTTCTGCTCACTGATGCTTAATGAGGACAGAGTGTGAGAGACGGAGTTTTTTTTGAGACGGAGTTTCTTTTTTTTTTTTTTAGTTTTATTTTAGGTGCATACTTATCTGACATTTCTCCCCATGTTATCCCTCCCACCCTCCCCTTCGCCTCCAGCCCCTGCTGTCTCTCCCCTACTCCCGCCAACTGCCTCCAGTGTGTGATGCTCCTCTCCCTGAGTCCACATGTTCTCATTGTTCAACACCCACCTATGAGTGAGAACATACGGTGTTTGATTTTCTGTTCCTGTGTCATTGCTGAAAATGATGATTTCCAGATTCATCCAAGTCCCTACAAAGGACATGAACTCATCGTTTTTTATGGTGGCATAGTATTCCATGGTGTATATGTGCCACATTTTCTTTGTCCGGTTTATCATTGATGGGCATTTGGGTTGGATCCAGGTCTTTGCTATTGTGAACAGTGCTGCTATGAACATTCGTGTGCATGTGTCCTTATAGTAGAACTATTTATAGTCCTTTGGGTATATACCCAGTAATGGGATTGCTGGGTCAAATGGAATTTCTATTTCTAGGTCCTTGAGAAATCGCCACACTGTCTTCCATAATGGTTGAACTAATTTACACTCCCACCAACTGTGTAAGAGTGTTCCTATTTCTCCACATCCTCTCCAGCATCTGTTGTCTCCAGATTTTTTAATGATCACCATTCTAGCTGGCGTGAGATGATATCTCAATGTAGTTTTGATTTGCATTTATCTAATGACCAGTGATGATGAGCATTTTTCCATATGTTTTTTGGGAGACAGAGTTTCACTTTTGTTGCCCAGGCTGAAGTGCAATGGCATGATCTTGGCTCACCGCACGCAACCTCCACCTTTCCTGCCTCAGCCTCCCAAGTAGCTGGGATTACAGGTGCCTGCCACCACACCCAGCTAATTTTTGCATTTGTAGTAGAGATGGGGTTTTGCCATGTTGGCAAGGCTGGTCTCAAACTCCTGACCTCATGATCCGCCTGCCTCTGCCTCCCAAAGTGCTGGGATTACAAGGTGTGAGCCACTGTGCCCAGCTGAGAGATTTTTTTAAGTGAAAAAGGTATATAATAATGCTACATGGAAAAATATCTAACATTAGAGAATTAAGTAAATAAGCTAATATACTCACACCATGGAATCTTGTGCAGTCATTAAAATTATGTAGTGGATGAATGTTTAAAGGTATGAGAAAATCTTAGGATATGCTAGGGTGGAGGGGAAGAGTAAAGTTTTAAGAAAATACAGTATACCCATACTTAAGTAAAAAAAAAAAAGAAAGATGTGTACAGTCATGGGTTGCTTAATGATGGGGCTACATTCTGAGAAATGGGTCAATAGGTGATTTCATCCTTGTGTGAACATCGTAGAGTGAATTTACATAAACCTAGATAGCCTAGCCTCCTATACATGGAGGCTGTATGGTATAGCCTGTTGCTCCTAGGCTACAAACCTGTAAAACATGTTACTGTAGAGAATATACAAATACCTAACACAATGGCAAGTTACCATTGCGTTAAGTAGTTGTGCATCTAAACATAGAAAACTAATGTGTCATGCTATAATGTTACAGTGGCTGACATTGCTAGGCAATACGAATTATTCACTGTTGGAATTAAAAATAATTTTATAATTTTATGGGACCACGCTCATATATGCAGTCTGTGGTGGACCAAAACATCATTACATGGCATATGACCATATGTATGTACATAAAAAATAGAAGAAAAAATGAATATACATCAAAATGTTTAAAATGGTTATGATGACTTAGGTTACTTTTCTTATATTTATCTGAGTAATAATAATGATAGATAATACTTTTATAGTGTTGACTACATAAAAGGCCCTGTTATAAGTGTTCTACATACACTACATGTATTAAATGGCATAAATATAACTCTGACAGTAACTAATCTTATAAGTTTTCTTTTTTGAGACAGAATTTCACTCTCTTGCCCAGGCTGGAGTACAGTGGCACGATCTCAGCTCACTGCAACCTCTCTGCCTCCCAGGTTCGAACGATTCTCATATCTCAGCCTCCTGAGTAGCTGGGAGTACAGGCACATACCACCATGCCAGCTGATTTTTGTATTTTTTGGTAGAGATGGAGATTTGCCATGTTGGCCAGGCTGATCTTGAAAGCCTGGCCTCAAGTGATCTGCCTGCCTCAGCCTCCCAAAGTGCTGGGATTACAGGTATAAGCCACTGCGCCAGGCCTAACCTTACAAGTTTTCAGTATTTAAAGAGTGCTAACTTTGTTCTTAATATAAAACATATTTCAGAAAAAGAGATATAAGCATCTCATTTAGAATTATGAAAATAACTATCAATAGACCTACAGCCAACTAAAGCTTTTCTTCATAAGCTTTTGTTCATATTGATTTGCTTCTTTGGATACACATTAATTTGATTTAAATAATAAGTATGTATAAGAAATAACACTTTCCTTTAATTTTTAAAAATGTTCAACAGTTTTTAATTTGAATTCCAATAGTAAAATACATAGAAAATATAAATTTTTCTGTAGTTTAGCCAAATAAAGTTATTTTTGTTTCCCACAGCATTCTACCAAAGTATCTTAATAACAGTAAGAAAATGAATGCATACCTCCTGCAGGGAGATGGGAATCAGACAGTTTATGGGCATAGTTACAAGTGGGAAATTTCACTGGCTACCATTTATGCTAAATTAATAAAAACTCAATTCTATTCTATATATGTATTTGCTTATATAAAAATGATTTCAATTATTGGTCATTAAATAAAATAGCCACCATTCCAGAAGTTGTGTCATATTTATCCTTTTTATACCACCAACATATTGCCTAGTATAGATTATGTGTGTTGCATTTTCTGTAAAGGGCCAGACAGTAAGTATTTCAGGCTTCGGGGTCCATATGGTGTCTGTCATAGTACTCAACTCTGCCACTGTAGCTTAGAGATTATCTAGGTCAAATGCCTAACTGATATGGTGTTGAAATACAAGGGTGCCACACACACACAAAATTTTTTTTGGTCTAAGAAAGATTTCATGACTTTCGTAGGGGCGTGGGTGGGGGCATGAACCACTTGGTTAACTTGGTATATCTTTCCCCGCTGCAGATCTGTCCAACTCAATGGTCAAACTCTAAAGATGGTGGATGATCAGACCTTGCCACCTTTGATGGAAAAAACTCTCCGGCCAGGAAGTTCACTGGGCTTGCCAGCTTTCTCATATAGTTTTTTTGTGATAAGAAATGCCAAAGTTGCTGCTTGCATCTGAAAATAAAATATACTAGTCCTGACATTGAATTTTCCAAGTGTACTAAGAATAAAGCAACTCAGTTATAGGAAAGGAAGCAGATACCTTACAAAGCAACTAGTGGATGCTTGAGAGACACTGGGACACTCTCAGTGTTAGATTTAGCACGGTATTTTTCTCTCTCTAGGTAGAACACTGCTAATAGTAATAGCTAATAATATCTTGTTCCAAATACTGCTTAGCATTTTGCATGTTTTACTTTTATGTAAAGTTTTGTTTTATTTTTTATTTATTTATTTTTGGGGGGACAGAATCTTGCTCTGTCAACCAGCCTGGAGTGCAGTGGTGCGATCTTGGCTTACTACAACCTCAAGCAATTCTCCTGCCTCAGCCTCTTGAGTAGCTGGGATTATAGGCATCTGCCACTAAGCCCAACTACTATTTTTAGTAAGATGGGGTTTCACCATGTTGGCAAAGCTGATCTCTAGCTCCTGACCTCAAGTGATCCACCCGCCTCAGCATCCCAAAGTGCCAGGATTACAGGCATGAGCCACCGCACCCAGCAGTGTTTTATTTTTGAGACAAGGTCTCACTCTGTTGCCCAGGCTGGAGTGCAGTGGTGCAATCATAGTTCACTGCAGCCTTGTAACTCCTGGGATCAAGTCATCCTCCCGTATCAGCCTCCCAAGTAGCTAGGACTACAGACACATGCCATCACAGTCGGCTATTTTTAAAAATTTTTTTTTAGAGATGAGTTCTCGCTATGTTACCCAGGCTGGTTCTGAATTCCTGGACGCAATTGATCCTCCCACCTTGGCCTTCCAAGTGCTGGGATTTCTTTGGGAATACAGCATGGTACAACAGGAAATCATTTGATGTTACCTCTGTGCAGTGTTGCTAGTCAGCAAAAGACTGTAATACTTGTGGGTACAGCAATTAGCCACCACACCCAGTCTTTGTTTAAAGTTATTAAAAATGGCCAGGCATAGTGGCTCACACCTGCATTCCCAGCACTTTGGGAGGCTGAGGCAGATAGATCACCTGACATCAGGAGTTTGAGACCAGCTTGGCCAACCTGGTGAAACCCCATCTCTACTAAAAATACAAAAATTAGCCAGGCGTGGTGGCACACACCTGTAGTTCCAGCTATGTGGGAGGCTGAGGCAGGAGAATTGCTTGAACCCAGGAGGCAGAGGTGACAGTGAGCCAAGATTGTGCCACTACACTCCAGCCTACATGACAGAGCAAGACTCTGTCTCGTCCAGGCACGGTGGCTCACACCTGTAATCCCAGCACTTTGCGAGGCTGAGGCAGGTGGATCATGAGGTCAAGAGATAGAGACCATCCTGGTCAATATGGTGAAACCCCATCTCTACTAAAAATACAAAAAAGTAGCTGGTCACGGTGGCATGCACCTGTAGTCTCAGCTACTCGGGAGGCTGAGGCAGGAGAATTGCTTGAATCTAGGAGGCGGAGGTTGCAGTGAGACAAGATTGTGCCACTGCACTCCAGCCTGGGTAACAAGAGTGAAACTCCATCTCAACAACAACAACAAAAATATGTGGGCCAGGCACAGTGGCTCATGCCTGTAATCGCAGCACTTTGGGGAGGCCAAGGCAGGCAGATAACTTGATGCCAGGAGATCAAGATCATCCTGGCCAACATAGTGAAACCCCATCTCTACTAAAAGTACAAAAATTAGCTGGGCATGGGGGTGCATGCCTGTAGTCCCAGCTACTGAGGAGGTCAAGGTAGGACATTGGCTTGAACCTGGGAGGCGGAGGTTGCAGTGAGCTGAGATTGCACCACTGCACTCCAGCCTGGTGACAGAGCGAGACTCCATCTCAAAAAAAAAAAAACAAAAAAAAAGTATGTGAATGCTCCTAATATGGCCATGAAACAAGGAAGTAAAGGACAGATTTTGAGTTTTAAGAAGGTGTTTAGTTGTATATTTATCTTTCAAAATGTATTAGAAGATTTTATAATTCTTTTCTTCATGTGCCATCTCTACAGGCTCCCATCAGAAAAAGTGTACTGCCATTACCATGAAACTGGTTATAAAAGAGAAACTATCTATTTGCATCTTAAAAGAGAACTCAATTCTGCTGATTTTCTTCTCTCCTGTTTGTCTTTGTCAGCAGTAATATGTGAGAGGGCAGATTGTTAGATGTGATAGTATAAAAAATGGTTAATGACAATTCAGAGGGGAGAGATTCTGTAAACTTAAAATTACTATAAATGACATTGATTTACCAAAAAGATAAACTTTAGAAAACACCCAATACATTATAACCATCTGTTAATGTTTACTTTTTCTCTATCTTTCATTCTTGTTTCAGTTGGGAAGCTTTTGGCTGCCTGTAACAGAAACTTCTGATTCAAATGGCTTAAACAATAAGGAAATGTATATTCCCACATAACTAGACATTCAAATAGGGCAGGCTCGAGCACTTCAGTATGTCGCCAGGGATCTGAGATCTTCCCAGATCTCTGGTCTGCCATCTTTAGTGCTGGTTTCATTCTCAGCCTCTGGTAGCATGATGGTGGCTGTGGCTGTTTCATTGGCCCCTTCAGATCTCATAGCAACCAGAGGAAAAAAAATGAGAGATTTTTTGAGTCTCCTTCATAGACGTGAATAACTCTTTTTCAGAGCTTCTCACAGCAAACCTCTCCTCATGTCTCCTTACATCTTATTGTTCAGAAATGAGTAATGTGGCCATTTCACCAGTCACTGCCAACAACAGTGAGGTTTCTCTGAGTAATCCTTTGGAATGGAGAGGGTGTTGGTCACTCTACATACTGAATACTACAGTTCTCTGCTTTTTACCAGTGACAACATATAATATTTTCCCCTGTATTTTAATTCTCTTAAGGACTAAAATTCTTTATATTTATGCTGTTATGAATGCAGTATCTTTAATTTTTTTATTTTAATAGATTTAGGGGTATGCACTTTTTGGTTACATGGATGAATTGTATAGCAGTGAAGTCTCGGCTTTTAGTGTACCTGTCACTTGAGTGATGTACATTGTACCCAATAGGTAATATTCATCCATTACCCCCCTTACACCCTCCTCCCTTCTGAGTCTCCAGTGTCGATTATACCACTGTGTACTTGTGTGTATCTATAGCTGAGCTTCCACTTATAAATGAGAACATGCAGTATTTGGTTTTCCACTCCTGAGTTACTTCCCTTAGGATAACAGCCCCCAGTTCCATCCAAGTTGCTGTAAAATACATTATTTTATTCTTCTTTATGGCTGAGTAATATTCCATGGTGTGTGTGTGTGTGTGTGTGTGTGTGTGTGTGTATATATATATATATATATATATAATATTTTCTTTTTCCACTTATCAGTTGATGGACACTTAGATTAATTTCATTCAATTAAATTTAAGTACATTTATAAGGAGCTAAAGCTGGAAATTAAATTTTAGATCTTTCAATACTCTTAAATTTTGTATATAAGTGGTTTTTATATTTTCACATTTGAAATAAATTAATTTTTATAACCTTGATATTGTATGACTATTCTTTTAGTAAAGCTAAAGCCTACAGATTCCTACATTTGGAAGCCTTGTTTTCTTTCACTGCTTTTTTATACCTGGAAACAGGATATAGAACCACAAGTGTGTTGGGTTTCACTCTTGTTACACTATTAGGTATCAGAAGTGGGAGTTTTCCAATGCA